TTTTAATAAATTTTGAGATTTTTTATTTTCAATTTTTTAAGTTTTTGTGAATTCTTTTGAATTTTAAGAAAATTTTATTTTTATTAAAATTTTTCTATTGTTTTGAATTTTTCAAAATTTTTTGGAATTTTTATTTAAATTTGAAGATTTTTTAAAATTTTTAAATTTTTCATAATTTTTTTGCAATTTTTTAAAATATTTCATGTTTCTATAAATTTTTTTGAAATTTTCTTTTAATACTAATATGCCAATTAATGGTGTGATGATAATTGAACTTTTTGATATATGTCAATATTTTATTAGATATTCATACTATATCAATAAATTAATTAATAGCATTAGTCCGAAATACTAAAATGGATGAGGGAATGAAAATTTGAATACTCAATTGTTAATTTTATTTTTTTAGATATCAAATTGACAAAAAATATAGAAAGACTATTTTTGTATTTAACCCCTTACTTTAAATGGCTGGTTGTTGGGTTTGGAATAAATGGGAAATTTTAATTAGTGACAAATTCAAATTTCTTTTAGGATGTTCATTTATTTTATATATATAACATTGTTAAAGAATTTATTAATTTATTAATTGAAAAGATATCCAAAAAATTTTTGAATGTATTCAAAAAAAATTTTTTCTTTAATTTTATTGTTTTCCAATATTTAAAGATATCCAAAAAAATTTTAAAAATAGTCAATAAAAAATTCTCTTTTAATTTTTTTTAATTTTTTAAATTTTAAAAATGTCTATAAACACTTTACGACATCATTTAAATCCACTCGTGACCTTAATCTCATATCCTTGTATTGACCACTTTGATTCATGAGTAACATTTGTCACGGACCGAAAGTTAAGTTTCAGGCTCGCGCAACTTCAGGACATGAAAATGGACTCTTCCATGCCCCTAGATCTGTCTAATATAAGAACTGTTACATAGAAACACAAGATTGCGAGACTTGGTCACCCAATATGTTGTAAAACAAAAAGGCATAGTAAGTGCCTGAAGAAAAGCTAAGAAAAGTACAACAAAAAGGATTAAGACAAGAGTAAAGATTTTATTCTCAATGGTTTTGATCTTTTCTCTTTGTACATAAAAGATGGGAGACTCTCTATTTATAACTAAGTCCCCCTTACAATTAATGTCTAAGATACATTCTTAAATTCTAAGGATTACATTAATTTAAATCCCATGATTCTAAGATATATGATACAATCCTTGATTCTAAGGGATATAATGCTATAGTATATTCTCAGCATTTTTTATCCAATTTGAATGGGATCTATCTTAGCTTGTTCCAAACCTCTGCTAAGCATCGTCCGTCCTTAGGCTTGTACCCATGCCTATACCTGGGCCCAACTCAGTTTTGCTAACTCTGATTATCTCATGTCTAAGACATGCTTGCACTTGGGCCCAACTATGCGTTTGTATCTCGATTATTAGTGCGTCCGTCAGGGTTTGACTGGATGCCCGCGTATGTGTCCACTTGTGCACTTACATTGCCCAAACCTAAGCTTAGCTCGACTATACCAAACCTGAACATCCTATTTGAGCCACTGGAGTCTTGATCACTGCTAGTCTCATTATTCTGAGCTAGTCTCTTGCAACCTGGACCTCCAGTGTGCCTTAGGGCCTAATCTCCTTGATTATCAGATTTGTCTCGCTAAAACTTCAACTGTCACTCTGATTTAGAGAGAATCTCTAAACCTGGTCTAGCTTGTGACAATTTCACATAGACAACTTTTCTGGACGTCTCCTTTTACGTCCAAACGTACACGGCTTTCACCTTGTGGGTTAATTCTTAATGTGTCTAACTGGCTTACTGGCCCATCAAAATTTGAAAATTCGGGCATTTTTGGCTGCTTTGCAGTTGAAGAACTTGTTGGAATATTAGTACGCTTAACTGCTTAAGCCCAAGAGGTATTTGGGTGTTGTATTTTAAATACAATTTGGGCTGATATTTGGGTTACTTTTGCCTCCAAGCCGATACGGCTTTCACTTTTTGGGTTAATTGGTGTCCAACTGGCCTAGATCCATATTTCAAATTTTGGGCACTTTTGACTGCTTTGCGTTGCCGAACTTGCTGGAATTTGAATAGGCTCAACTGCTCAAGCCCAAGAGGCTTTTTATTTTTTAGTTGTGAAAAAAAAAAATCAGGGCCGAGGGGTCATCAAATCGATAATCATTCATCACGTAAAATGGACTCCACCGTTGACTAGTGAATACTGGTATACTTCTACTACATATAAGATTTGTTTTGCTAGCATTCGCCTGAATTCCCCCTTTTTCTTCAAGATTTAGGCAAAACATTCGATGTTTGTCTCTGTTCCTTTCGCTTTTGTTTCCTTAGAACAAAAAAAAAAAAAAAAAATCACATCAAAGCAATTTGGGGAGAAAAAAAAACAAACAAATGAAAGCTAAATTTTGTAGCAGTCATTTTTGGCCTAGCATTAATTCTTTGTTGCGCCGTTGGATGCTGGTCGTTACAAATTTCAATACCTTCATTGAATTACGGTCTTGTGAAGCACTTCTACCACTTCTAGATGGGCATCCTAATTCCAAATTCCACTCTTTTCTGGTCTAAATGCAATTTTTTTTTTTCAACTAGGTAGAGTTTCTTGATTTATACCATAACATGAACGTGTATAAGTAATAATTAATTTGTCAAATTTTACTATTATAATATCAACTCACCTATTATTGGTTTGACTATCAGTGGTGAGAAAGACAAAAAACAAAAAAACCATGCCTAATTTAACAAATGTGGTACTTCAGGATTTTCAAATTTCAATTGTTCTTCTATTTGCATGATTTTATCTATCTATTTGTAATAACTGGCGGAGGAAAAATCCCGGTCAAAGGGATCTATTTTTTGGAATAAAGTGTTTATGAACACCTCTAAAAACTAAAAATAAAAAAATTGAAAGAAAACCCTCAAAACTTTTAAACTCAAAAGATTAAAAAACAAAATAATTTGAAGGAAAATTTTTCTAAATTCCTTAAAAATTTTCTCATAAATATCATTTTCATCAGCAAAATTGATAATTTTTCTGATAATTTATATTTATTATAAGTGAATGTTAAAAAAATTTTAGATGACCACTACCAGTCAACATAATGTTGTAAATATTTTATGTTGCCAGTACCTACTCTCTATTATCTATAAGAATTTACTATTGTAATTTCAATTCGATAGCCTTGTTGTTTGCGTACAAAATACAAATGGAAGTTTTTATTGCAGACCACGATCATAAAAAATGGGTTCCAAAATTTCCATGCCGGACCCATAGTTCTACCAAATTGCTGATAGTACTAATAAATAAGTAACAAGTATTTTTATCCCACTCTTTAAAATTACCATGTTAAATAAATATTTTCTTTTAATACGGTAAGATAATATATATTAACATAATTTATAAATATATAAACAGATTTTATGAATTAAAGTTGTACTTACAAATCTAGAGTAAACCAGAAAATCATTTGTAAAGCGGGCAATCACTCTTTAATAAAAAAAACCAAAATCACTTATTTAAAAATTATTCTATTTTTATAGTCTAAATGTTACATTTAGTAAAGAAACCTCTATAAATTATTAATAGATATGACTCAATTCTCTTTCAAACTAAACTTTATTTTTTCTTTTGTTTCTTTTCATTTAAGTATGATTATTTATAATTAAATATGATGGTACTTTTATACTTATTTTAAATTAAAATAAGATAAAAATATAATCCACAAATATTGCTGTTTTGGCCACTAATTAATGCTCATTGAATTATCTGAACCATGTAAGGTGCCATGCACCAATTTCTTGTATTTTTTTTCAAGGATGAAAAATGTTTTTGAATAAAAATTTAATAATTTTTTTAAGTTTTTATTGTTTTATTATAATCAATTAAAATTTTAAATATTTATTTTTAATAATTAAATTTTATTAGATAAAATTAATTAACCATTAATATTCATTTGTATTTAATTTGAATGAAAATAAAAATTTAAAATTTAATTGAGAAAAAATAAATATTTAAGAATTTAATTGATTTAAAATAAAAATTTATGATTTAATTAATTATAACAAAGTATTAAAATTTTAAATAATTATTAAATTTTTATTAGAGATTTTTTTATCAGAATCAATTCTTGTATTTAATTAATATAAAAATATTACTATAATAATAATATCTTAACTCGCTGACAATACCATTAAAGTGAACATAAATACATACACCAGTTAATAATAAGGACAATTGCCAATAGGATTTTGGGAAAATGAATGTTGATTACATCATTGTGTTGATTTTGCTGCACATGATAAAAGAAAAAGTTTAATTGGTACCATGACAATGACAAGGATGAAAAGAGGGTCCAAGATGGCTAACTAACGCCGAGGCATGGGGTTGGCCAATCTTGACCGTTTTTAAATGCAAAGTCATTAATTTTAAAGCCAAAAATTCAACACAGTAAAGCCTACCATGAATCATGGATCATTGGCACATAGAATTGTAGGACTTCACCTAACCTGATCAGCTGCTTTCTATCTGACTAATTATTCCTTATTTTCCGATTAAATGGGCCCGATGCCCAGCAAGAGAAAGAGTAGTTAGAACTTGATCAGTGTGGATTGTGGACTGTGGAAGAACCCCGCAACAGGTGGGAAACGAAAATTGGAAAAAGTTGAGCGCGCTTCACACGATGAAGTTAAGACTTGGACTTGGAACTTCGATATCAGTCAATATTTTTATGAGCCACTGGCCAGATAAGAGATAACCCCGAAACTTACATGATTTCTTTAAAATTAAAGAAGGAAATGAAAGATCAATGAAACCCCGTTGCAACTGCGTGAATTTTCCTTCCAACAAAGAGAAAAGTTCTCTTCTTTAGACCAAGCAGCAAACATGCTGCCTTTGTGTGATTACTGGTTTGAAGACTTCATGAACTGAAATGAAATTAAAAAAAAAAAGACTAAAAGCTGTTCCAATGTTATCACTTTACAATCAAAGTTGACTAGACCACATATTAAAGTCTTATGTTTAAAATTACCATTTACATTCCATAAAATACGTCCTCTTTATTGTTTACGACCAAACCGTCCTAACCCTTTCCCTATATAACTATCTTTGCGCCAAAACAACCCCTCACACCAAGTATAGGAATCTTATCGCATTTTTTGGGTTTTGGTGGCCCCAAGGAAAGAAAGATCAACAAAACTATACGAGTTCGGCCATGGCACTTGAGTTTTATGCCAATATTTTTCTTTCTCTTGCGCTGCTTTCTTTCTTTGGATTGTTGGTAGGTTTGTACCATGGATTGGTAGTGAAGCCCACAAAGCTTCGAGCAAGACTAAGCAAGCAAGGCATCAAAGGACCGCCTCCAAGTATGCTCCTGGGAAACATACGAGATATTAAGAAGGCCCAGTCCAACGTTGTTAAGGTTCCTAGCACGCAACGCCCTGCCACTCACAACTGCGCTACGCTTCTCTTTCCATTCTTTGAGCAATGGAGGAAACAGTATGGTATGTTTTGTGCCTATATATGCCTATGCTTTTTGTATGCGTGTTTATGATGAATTTTGGAGCATTGCTCTTGCATATACTATGCTCCCAGCCATTAGTTTAATTCTACCGTTTGTGTATGTATATTAATGAGATATCATCGTTCAATTCACTAACAATGTATAGATAATACATTAAATATAAACCCATATAATATATATATATGAGTAACATATGATTCAATATTAATTATTGCAGATGCACAGTATTAATGAACCAATTTACTAAAATAGCAAAAGCCAAACACTGATAATGCTAGAGTTGTTGCATTAATTGGCAGGTCAAGTATTTGTGTTTTCTCTTGGTAACACTCAAATATTGTTTGTGAATCAACCTGATGCGGTGAGAGAGATTACTACATGCACGTCCTTATCCTTGGGGAAGCCTTCCTATCAGCACAAAGAGCGTGGTCCATTGCTTGGTCAGGGCATTCTAACTTCAAATGGGGCTCTATGGGCTCATCAGAGGAAAATCCTTGCTCCTGAATTATACATGGACAAGGTTAAGGTATGATCCACTAAATATATGAACATGATCATGATTATACTGGGTGGATATATATATATATATATATATATATATATAAAACAAGGATGAAACACTTGTTGACTTAAAACCTGCTGTAGGGAATGATGAATCTAATTGTCGAGTCTACATTTACACTACTCAACTCTTGGAAGAGCAGAATTGAGGCCGAGGGTGGACTAGCTGACATCAGAATTGATGAGTATATGCGAAGCTTCTCTGGAGATGTTATCTCAAGAGCCTGTTTTGGAAGCAATTATTCTAAAGGAGAAGAAATCTTCCTGAAACTAAGAGCTCTCCAGGAGGCCATGTCCAAGAAAAATCTATCCACTGGCGTGCCCGGAATGAGGTGAGCATTCCTATGCAATTTCATGTCACATCTTTCTTCCACGGACATCTTCACTGAAAAAATCATGCAGGCAACTCAATATCTTTGAGACTTTACAATAACCCTTGTATAATTTGTGTTGAAATTTTGACTGATTACAGATATCTTCCCACAAAAAGCAACAGGGAAGCTTGGGCACTTGAAAAGGAGGTACGTGATTTGATACTGCAGGTGGTAAAGGCGAGAAAGGAGGCTGCATACGAGAAGGACTTGCTGCAAATGTTGCTTGAGGGAGCTGAAAACAGTGATCTGAGTCAAGAAGCCACTGACCGGTTTGTAGTTGATAACTGCAAGAACATATACTTGGCTGGATATGAGACTACTGCCGTTTCTGCCATCTGGTGCCTCATGCTTTTGGCTGCCAATCAAGAATGGCAGGATAATGTCCGGACAGAGGTTCTTCAAGTTTGTGGGGGTCGTATTCCGGATGCTGATATGCTTCGTAAGATGAAACAGGTATGACTATGAGTTATGAACTCACTTATTAGATTGACATGGTTAACTAGGACCATACGGCTTTTAGCATTATTAAAATGTACTTCATTTACGAATTGCCATGTTTTCGATCTGGTGTTATTTACAAAATCAAATACACTAATCTTGAAAACATTTCTTTAATGCAGCTAACTATGGTAATTCACGAATCATTGCGACTTTATCCCCCAGTAGCTGTGGTGTCAAGGGAAGCCTTCAAGGATATGAAATTCGGGGACATTTTTGTTCCCAAGGGTGTGAATATTTGGATTTTCGTGTTGGCATTGCACACTGACCCTGAAATTTGGGGTACGGAGGCCTACAGATTCAACCCGAATCGATTTGCAAATGGGATAACAGGTGCTTGTAAACTTCCACATCTGTACATGCCATTTGGGGTTGGCCCCCGGGTCTGCCTTGGACAGAACTTGGCCATGGTTGAGCTGAAAGTACTAATGTCTCTCCTTTTATCCAACTTCTCGTTCTCCCTTTCTCCCAAGTACAGCCATTCTCCTGCTCTTAGATTGGTAATAGAGCCAGAAAATGGAGTTGATCTGTTGGTAAAGAAACTGTGAACTTCGCTTTTGTACTTGTTCAATATGAAGCCAAAGAAACAATTTGAAATAAAATAACAGAATAGATGGTAAACATCTGTCTCTCAGAATAGTCTTTTGGACTGTTTTAGGTTAGGGGCCATGTATGATGTAAGTCTTTTGGACTGTTTATCATTTTCTTCCGTACTTGGGTGTATGCCTAAAGAGATGAATTAATTATATGTGAATAAGATTGAATCGTTGCTATTATTACTTGGAAGTTGTAATCAAAATGCAGAACTCATATCGCCAATCGCTTGGACCATTGCTCGCCCAGCACCTTGAGGTCATGGATCAAATTAAACGAAGCAGGCTAACGTTCGCCCAGCAACATGGGCCCCATATGTTTTATCTTCTCTATGCCACAAATAGCATATCCCATGATTTATAATCTTATAATAATAATATTTAACAATTCAGGCTTTTGCTTTCTCTTTTTGTTGAAATAACTGCCGATCAATTATCAATGCTTATTATTTTCACTATTCATTATGACGGTCTGTGGTATGGGATAATCTATGTTATTATATAGTAGTAGATAATACCATTTGAGTTCGTATACTAGTATAAGTAAGCTATGTCCCACTGAATATAATATAAATTGGAAAATAAAAAAAAATTGATATTTGCTTCACAAAAGCTTCACTATTTCCTCTTTATATTTGTTGAGGAGATAAGCCAAAGCTTATGAGACCACACTAAAAGAAGTGCATACATATATGTTTGACATCTTGAATATTGAATTTTTGAATATTTATGTTTAACCTTCATAACCCAAACTCTCAATTTGTCTTTACTTGGGAGCTTTATCATCCAGGAAATTAGAGAATGCTTTAGGATGTGATTTTTGAGCCAAAATTTTCTATACCATCCTACCTTCCCTTGTTCTTGATCTCATTCCAAACAACTGTAGTAGAGTGACGATTCTGCGGAAAAGACCATATCCCAGTGCCAGGCTTAGCCTTTTTGCGAGATTTGCACTTTTATTATTTAGTAATGATCGATCATTATATCTTGGCCATGTATTACAGAATGAATTAATAATGTGGATGTATATATATAAGATGATCAGATTTACTCTCTTTACTTCCAAATCTTAGTCTATATAATGTCTTACTTTTAACCTAAATCATTAGGAAAATCTAGAGGGGAGAAAGGATCGTGGAGAATTAATTTGAACTCACAAAACAATGAAGGCGCAGATGTTAAAACATCTTTATCTCCCTTTGTAATATCCCAGCTCAAATGATAATTGGGCTAAACTATTACTAAAACTTATTAAGTTAATTAAGAAGTTAATTATTAAAGAACAAGTGGCTGAATGTTTTACCAAAGAAAAACCTAGTTATCGTGAAATAGAAAAAAAATGCAAGTTCTTTTTTTCCATCTTTCTTAGGATTAGATAGCATAAAAAATTAAGTACAGGATCCAAAATCAAAGGCTACAATCGAGTTAATTTTCTAATGTTGAATATCTACCCTCTTTTTATTTAAGAAAAATATCATGTTAGTTGTTATTATTTGGAGTTGAAGTTTTAAGAGAAAAATCAAGAAAAATTATGAAATTTTTCATTAATCTTCATGATTTATTTGGGTAAATTAATAGGCTTTATTTATTTTATGTTCTTAAGATTTATTGATGATTATTTAATAGAGTTTAAAGGTTGAAAGTGAGGATTTGAGTTTTTAAATATTGAAGGAGAAATTATATTTTTGGATAAGATGTTATGATTTATAATAGTGAATTAAAATGTAATTTGGTATTAATGGATAGATTATTACTATAAGTATTATATATTGTTCGAAAGCTTGTTGAATCTACTTTCTAATGAAATAAAACAGAAGTTGAATTTGAGTTTTCTATGAATAGTTGTCTAATTTTTACTTAAGGATATGCAAGCTATAAGGCAGCAGAATTAGGGTTGAATTATAAAAATTGTCTTAATTTTTACACAAGGAGTTACAGTTAAGCCATATATGTTTGGAAAGCTTATGAGTCTACTTTCTAACAGAAAAAGCAAAATTGAATTTGGAGTTTTCTATGAATCAATGTGTAATTTTTATTAGAAGATATACATGATGTCTGATAGTAGCATATGATGTGGATTGCAAAAATTATTATAATTAATCTACAAAGAACTACCAAGTGGGTCACATATATTAGAAAGCTTATCAAGTCTAGTTTCTAACACATTAAAGAGATCTTAATTCTGATTTAGATATATTGAGATATAGTCATTTTAATGAAAGGAGATCAAATAGTCAATATTAGTTAGTTGAGTTAACTTTTGTTTAACTTAATTGTTTTTGATATCATTGATCTCAAAATGGGTTGATTAATTTCTATTATTTTGAAATTATCTTGAATAGGCCATTAATTATTTTGAGGGAAAAACTAAGTAGTGAAATCGAAAAGAGGTAAGTAGAATCTCACACGCTTTACTTGTTTTTGAATCTATGTATATATGTATGTTTCTAAATGAGTAAATATTTTATTTCATTATTTTTTCGATATATGAAAATAGGACTAAGCATATGATTATTTTGTGTTTTTGCTATGTAAATAATGGATCATGCTCATGAATGAATGAGAAAATGATTTATGTTTAAGGAATGATTTTATGATAGCTACATTTTTACATCCTTAGAAAGTGGGATCAACAATACCAAAACTAGTTCTATAGCCTTGGCTAAAGGGTAATAATAGTTAGCATAGACATGATCATGAAGCCCTGTTAGTGGGTTATAGTAGTTAGTATAAAACCCTGGCTAGCGGGTTATAATAGTTAGTAAAGATCATGAAAATAAAATTATCGATACGACCAATATCACAAGTTATAACAGTGATTGTAGCTAACAATAAACTAATGATAAACTAATTATTTATGATAATAATGATTTATGATGATTTTAATGATTGATCCATGATTTGATTTGCTTATGATATTTGAATGGCAGTATATTTTGCAATGATTTATGAATTAACATGTTTTGATATTGATTTATGATTTATGAAATATTTGACATAATGATGTGGAAATGTTTTGACATTATGATTTGATGAATATTTTGAATTATCTATATAATATGAATGAAAACGATGTTTGATTTGGTAAGGTGTGTAAGCCTATACTTGTTGAGCTGTGATTTAGTCATTCCTTTTTTACTTTTTCTTTACAAATGAGTAAGTGATAAGTTTGCTTAGTTTTGTGAAAAGTTAAAAAATCAAATAGAAAAGATTACTTAGTCATCGAAGACAATGTTGGCTAATGAGATATTATGAAATGGTTTTGTATTTTTATATGGTTTGTATTTGGATATATAGAGATGTATCATTAGTTGGATTAAAGATATTGATTTTACTTGGTGGACTATATTAGTTTATTGAAAAATTTTAAAATGATTAAGAAAAAAAGCTTCGTATTACTTTGGGGTTTTATTTCAAGGTAATATAGCTGTGTTACATCTTGGTCTCGAGGCGTGACATAAAGTGATATTAGAGTTTAAGTTTTGACTTTTGAAGAATTTTAAGAGTTAGATTATGATGAGATTTTCTTTAAAAGCCTAAGTTATGATATTTAGAGATTTTTTTTAGAGTTTAGGTTTTTATTTTTAAACTATATGGATGTTAAAAAGCTTATATTATGATTTTGAGGATTTTTTAAGAACTATGATTATAATTTTTAGAGATTTTTAAGAAATTAAATTATGATAATTAGATTAACGGTGATTTTCTAAGAATGTAGCTTATGATTTTTGGATTGAAAGAGATTCTGTAAGCATGGTTATGATCTATATATTATGTGAAGATTTTTAAGAATTTAGATGATGACCTCTAGATAATGTGATGATTTTTCAAGGACAAAACTTTGATCCATAGACTATAGTGGTGAGTATAAGTAAATGATTTGATGAATTTTGGAGTAGTTAAAGTTTCAATGAATTTTGAGGAATCAATGATTCAATGAATTCTTAGTGTAATTATTTTGGTTGATATTTACATATTGCTTTTGGATCTTGTAGTTAAGAAAAAGTGTAATTACTTTGACATAGTACAATTTTATAAGTTAAAGAGATTTTCAATGCGACTTATAATGAGACATATTTCATAAGTTAAAGGATTATTTAAAAGAATGATTTGATCATTAGAGATCCTATTGGTTTAAGAAAAGACCTTCAACTTAATGAGATTTTGAAGTTATTTGATGAGTGTCAAGTGAATCCTTAATCATGAATTAAGATTAGAACATTAGTGTACATTGTTGGAATTAAAAGTATAGAATATCGGAGTTTGAATGATATGATGTTTTGAAATTTTGAAGTAATTATTTATGGGTTATAATGTTTAAGAATTTGTCTTGATGGATTTAGTTCAAAATATGATAATTACGGTAAATAGTTTAATATACGTAAAGAAAGATATCCATTTGATTTAATTCTATGTTTTTATTGAGAAAGTATTTAAGGTTTGATCATGTAAGTTGGACGTTTGTATAGTTAATTTGAAGTTGGATCATTAAATTCCTATATAAAATGTACTATTTTTTTTAATGAGTAAAGTGATTAATTTGTGGTTATAGTTTCTAATTAAAGTATACTATTAGATTCTTTTGAATTTTATATTTATGGAGAACATTCCCATTTATGGTACAAGGCTATTATTTAGCAAAAAATTAAATTTGTGGATAAAAATTAAAGTTGTGGTTATCTAGATGATTTAGTAAGGAAGTTGGTTTTGAAAGAGTAATTGATTTATAGAAAAATATATATGTTTTGGTTAAGAATGATTGTTTGAAATCTTATAAGTGCAAAAGATTTTATGATTAGGTCTTAATAATTAGTGATGATTTTGTGTACTTGGTGATTTCTGAGTATCTATTTTGATTTTAAAGAAATTTGAAAAAAATTTTGAAATAATATAATGCATTTGGCTATTGTTCATAACTATAATTTTGGTGCCAATTCAAGTATTCGGAGTTCTTATTGGTTCAAACTTTATAAGAGAAATTTTCTTATGGATTATGATGCATAAGTCTTGATCTTGAGTTGGAGATAATAGCAATATATTTGGTAAAAAAAAATTGAAACAATATAATATTTGTGAGAATTGTGGAGAATCAGTTATTATATAATAATTGGTCTATTAAATTAGAAAGAACAATATTCAAAATTGAAGACAAGTTAGATAACTAGAGATATATGTTTGAATTTACATAGTTTAAATTTATGAATATGATTTATTGCATTAATTTCATATGTATTATAATGGTTAATTGATAGAAAATTTCATATTGTCGGTGAAGAAGAAAAGAAAATTAAAGTACTATGTGATATTTTTTTGTGTGACTAAAAGATTTGTTAATA